AAATATTTTTACATCCTTTGCCCATATGGAGAGGTCTATCCACATACCTCTTCCTCAAATATCTTTGTCACCAACTTTCCAGTTATGTTCTTCCCAAGTTCCTGACCATCCATGCAGACCACTGGCTACAACACAAGAATCAGCATACAGTCACACATCTAGCCATTTCTCCTTCCAGGCAAAATGTACTGCCAGGTGCACTGCCCGAATTTCTACCCACTGTGATGATTTCCCTTTGCCACTGTCCTTCAGGGATGTCCTGGAAAAGGGCCTCTCTCTCTCCTTTTCTTTTTGCTTTTGCTGTCTTCCAGTGCCATGAACCACTGCCCCTCTGCCATGTGCCACCCTGCCTGGAACCAGCCAATCATGGACTGAAACCTCTATAAGTTGTAAGCTAAATAAACCTTTCCTCCTTCAACTTTGGGTGATATTGGGTATTTTGTCTCAGCAACAAGAGAAAAGTAACTAACACAGAATTTAGTACTAGAGAAATGGAATCACTGCTGTGACTGTACCTGACCATGTGATTCAGGAGCTTTTGTGACTGGCTGTGGGAAGAGTTTGGAAAGGTTTGGAGATATTCCCTGAAGGAGTAGAGCTGGAACACCTTAGGTTGTTCTGTATGAGAGATTCTGGTCAGAGCGCAGAAGACCAGAAGGCTGATAGATACACCACCAGTAAAGACCAGGCTCTGGTGGTTTCTGTTGGCAAGAAGGACTATATTGGCTATCAGACTCCAGATGATGTGTGTTATGGCTTGGCAGAAAGTTTGTCTGCATTTTGCTTGTGTCCAGAGACTTCCCTAAAACTGAGATTAAGGGCAGTGGACTAATTAATCTGGCAGAAGAAATTTCAAGGCAATTTAATATTGAGGCAGTGGCATGGCTATTGTTGGGGGATTTTGGCCAGATTTATGTTCAGAATCAAAAGCAAAGAGCCCAGCAAAATGATTTAAAACATTGTGAGTTTGGCCAGAAAGAAAGATCCAACAAAGCTGTAGACTGCAAAGATAGATCAGAGGAGACCTTGGTTGCTGAGAAGAATGAAAAGATGGCCTGAGGGCATCACAAGAAGCAGCAGGACTCCACCCTTTGCAGTTTCAAAACTGCAAAAGTGAAAAACTTTGCTTTGAGAAGAAAGCCGAGGAGCACCATGTTCCAGAATGGTGGCAACATAGAGAATTTGTTCCTCAGAACTGGATTCAACGTGCTCAGCAATCCAGGCACTCAACCCTTACAGCCAAGAGAGAGGGAAGCCTGGCTATTGCTCCTGCTGGAAACAGACCTAGGCCTAATCCACATGGTGCTGGTTTTAGGTGCATGGAGAATGCAAGACTTGGGAGGGCAGGAAGGCTTCCACCCAGATTTCAGAATGCTTGGGAGGCCAGGCAGTGTGCATCTGAGAGGGCAGAGTGTGAAGTTGAGTGTGTGAAGCCAAGGGTGCACTGGAAACCCCAGAAGTTTGGAGGAGCCAGGAATGTGGACTGTCTGAAGAAAGTTTCAAGGAGGGAGCAGATCCAGACCTAGAGAGGAGACAGGGGAGCTACCACCACCAGAAGTACTAGATAAGGGTAGAGCCTCCCAAGCCTTTTGGAGTTCACATCTTGCCATAGATTGCCTCAGATGCTGCACATGGAACTACAGGACATAATGTTTGCCCTGCTGGACTTTGGACTTGCTTTGGTCCCATTCCTTTCTATCCTCATCTTTGTACCTTTGTAATAGAAATGTCTCTTTTGTACCATTGAACGTTGCAAGTGTTTATCTTTCTTTTCATTTGTACAGGGCCTTGAAGCTAAGTGTTTCCCTTAAATCTCAGAGGAGACTTTGGACTTCGATCTTTAAGCAATGCGAAACTGTTAGGGCTTTGGCAACTCTTAGAGACAGACTAAATGCCTTTGCATGCAGGATTGTACATGAGTATTTGGGGAGCTAGGGACAGAATATTGTGGTTTGTGTTTAGATGCCTCCCTCAAAGCCTCATGCAGCTTTAGATAGGGCATTTTCAGAGGTGGCTGAATCTAGAGTGTGTGATTGGTTTGTAGTATGCTGGGATTAAGGGTTGGTAGTGCTGGGTCAGTCCACTGATTGGATTGGCCCCACCCTAATCCCAGTAGACTGGATACAATATAAGGGTCAGAAAGAGGCTTGGTTCTCCCTCCTCTCTTATTGCTTTTGCTGTCTTCCTCCACCATGAACTGCTGCCCCTCTGCCACGTGCCACCCTGCCTTGGAGCCAGCTGATAATGGCCAGCTAAAACTGCTACAAACTGTGAGCTAAATAAACCCTTTCCTCCTTTAACTTTGGGTGTCAGGTATTTTGTCTCAGCAACAAGAAAAGTAACTGAGACATTTAGGAATTTGAGATCAGCATAGCAAGACCCCATCTTTACCTACAAAATCAAAAAGCAAGAAGGAGCCCTTCCCAGCTGCGGCCTGAGGGCTGTGTGGTCACAGGAAAATGGTTAAAGGGACACAGGGCTGCTGGGTCTGAAAAGGGGAAAGAGCCAGGAGCCAAGGCTCACACGCTCCACAGCTGGGACAGACGGAGGCATGGGTGCCACCACAGTGCCCTGAGAGGAACCTGCCAGCATTGCGATTGTCACCAGTGGGACATACCCGCCCTTTAACCTGTAAAACTACAACACAATAAATCTGTGTGGCTTCAAGTCACTAAAGTTGTGGTGGTTTGCATGGCACAAGAGCAGCCTCCTGTGCCCTGCCTGACACTGGCTGTCAGAGCAACGTTTCACTTAAGAAACCAAAGGGACTCTTCCCCGACAGAATGTTGGCAGCTATTTCTTCTATTCTTCTTTTCTTCCCGAAAGAAAAACACCTGTTTTCCCATGGTCATGCGGTGACAGGAGAACCAACCCAGTGTTCACTCCACTGCAGCCCTGCTGAGTGCTCAGAGGCCTCTTCCAAGCCAGCTCTGCCATGTGATCCAGTACTAAAGATTTGATGGAAAACTTGGTCACACAGCCATTCAGCAAACACCCAGTGGGACAGATCATACACTGTACTAGGCACTGGCAAAGAAGTAGTCTGTGCAAGCTGGTCCCACTCCTGAGTGTCTCCGGCAGATACCACAGAGTGACTACAGCTGTGATGCACAGGCTGGGAAAGATCGCGGAGCGAGCCACCCACCCAGTCTTGGGGGACAAGGAGGGCTTCTCAGAGGAAATGACATCTAACCTGAAGCCCAAGGGTCAGGGAGATTTGGCTAAGCAAAAAGGGAAAGAACAGCAATGCAAAGAGGGGGAGGGAAGAAATGGATGGATGGGCTGGATAGCTGGACAGACGAACAGACGGGATGGACGAGTGGACGATGGTGGGATGGATGGGAGGATGGGTGGATGAAGGAAGGAGTGGAGTGGAATGGAATGGAATGGGATGGGAGGAGGGCAGGGGAGGGGAGGGGAGGGGAGAGAATGTGGTGGGATGGGATGGGATGGGATGGGGTGGGATGGGGTGGATGGGATGGGATGGAGTGGGATGGGATGGGATGGGAGTGGAGGAAAGGGGAGAGGAGGGGATGGAATTGGGCACTCCAAGGGAACATGGTGGATGACATGAGACTGCAGATGTGAGCAGGGTGGCCGCTAAGGGCCTGATTAGCTAAGTGTAAAGTTCACCTGAGTTTACCATCCACGAATGTCCATGACCTCAGGACCACTGAAAGCCATGGCTCACCTGAACTGATGCAGAGAGATACCAAGCACGGGGCTAGGACAGAATATGGATTCAGTAAAAGTCACTGATTCATAGGGCAGTGTGGCGGCTCAGGTAATCAAGTGTGTGTACACAGTAATAGAAACAAGGAGGAGGGACTGCCCAGCTCTGCTTGGAGGGGAAGAGATCATTCACAGTGCAGGCAAAGTGACAGGGCCTTGAAGGGTGCGGTAAGGGACTTTTCTCCATAGTCTTCCATCATCACACACCGACAGTCTCGGGAATCTGTCGCATGCTGAAGACCTTCCTGCCTTGGAAATTCTGCAGATTCACACCTCTGTCTCTGGTTTTCATTTTGCATGATGATGAGTGTGTACAGTTCCATGCTGGACTCACTCTCTAAGTGTAGGTCCCAGAGACCATTCCTTTGTCCCCAACAACCTTCTGCCTGGCCAACAGAACATCAATCTGAGTCACTGATGGTCTAAGACAGCCATAGCTATTGCACTAACCTCTGCCAGACACTCATTTTCCCACAATTCCTTGCTGTTATGGATGGCCATGTGGTCCAATTCTAATCAATACTTTTCTTATCAATTAGATAAAAGAGTAAGTTAGGTGGAAAGGCTTCCAGGCATTTGTGTTCCTTGACTGATACAGCGATCCATGAAGAAGATCCTCTGTCATTCTGCACTTCCTGCTACCTTTCTACCTTTGAATACTGTTGTGATATCCGGAGATGCGGCAGGCATTTGCAGACATGAGGCAACTGACAGAAAAATCAGCCACCCACGTGAGAAGAGAACGTGCTGGCTAGCCAAATGTTAATGCTGAGCTGGTCCTTGTCCTTGAGGCTGTTTACCTCCACCTTCCTGTTTGGTGACATAAACATCCGACTCAGCTTAGGCTACTATGAATCAGGTTTTGTTACTTGTAGTCAAATAAATCCTAAATTATACAGATGTTTCCAGAACAAGGACAATTCTCCTCCCCACCAGAATTATGAAGCTCTGGCAACTACCACACAAAGACCACAGATGCTGCTTCCCCAGTCCTGCACATAAAACTTCCCCTGGGTCTTCCCTTCCTCATGGTGACCTGTTCTTGGTGGAACGAGAAATGAGCTGCCCCTCTAATTGTGGGACCCCAAGTGTCGCCCACTGCCTCCCACCCCTCCCATCTGACCCGACCTTGCCTACAGTGGTCCTGGGGTGGGGGGGGGGGGCCCAGGTGGTTGGGAAAGTGGAACTCGTCAAAACCCAGGATCAGATTCTCCTTGGCAACCACGCAGGTAAGCTGTCACCAGCCCTGTCAACAGTCAGCACAGAAAGAGCTATTTATTCACAAGACCTCATGAGTCACAGTCTAAACATTCTGCAATCCCTCCCCTGGCAAGTCCGACCCTGCCCGGGTCTCCAGGGAGATGCTTCCCACCCAACGCCACTTCAGCCCAACAGCCTCCTGGCTCTGGGCTGGCGGATCCGGGCTGCACAAGTGGTCATGTTATTAACGACCATGAGTCACTGCGCAGGGCATTCATATGGAGTGGTGTGTGAAAAGGAGGGAAGGCTGGGGCCCACGGAGTGCAGACAGAAAGCAGGCCACCGCTGCCTGGCTGTGCACCTTCCGAAATGCAGCCCCCTCTCAGCATGACAAGGGTCTGACTCTGCTCCTTCTGGTGACCCCCTGCCTGAATACCCACTTGCTTGGCAGGGATCAGGGCTCTGAGAATAGAACCCTCTATACCCAGCTGGCTTTGCCCGGTGCTGAGGAGGAGATGGAAGACTGCATAATCTCCTTGCAGGAGACTGGTTTATTTTCGGTGCTAAAGGTGAGCTTTGCATTGGACTCTCTCACCTTTGTTTTAAACTTCCACTTGTTCTGGTGTAATTTCTGCTCAGTCCTAGCGGGGGGTGGAAGGACTACTCCCTTGGAGGGAGGAAACTCCCAAGTTGGTGGCACATTTCTGGAAAGTTCCTCTCCCTCCTGGCAAGCGTGGACGGAGTGTGGCTGGGACTCCTTTCCGGACCTCTTCCATGTGTCAGTCAATAGCACTGCCCCGCTCAGTGTGGTGACTTACTCCTGCGGCCTCGCGCGCACCCACCCTCCGGCAGCTCTGCCCTGCGTGAGGTTGCCGGGGCTCGGAGAGCAGGATCGGCTTCAGGTCCCAAATGTCAGAACTTCCTCTGGCGTAGAGTGGGCACCTCACGAAGTACAGGGAGGGAATGGTGAGAAGCAAGAGAGCAGTCTCTACCCCCATCTACAAGCAGGTGGATCTCAAGCAGGCCTGTAGGCCGCGGCTGGGGGGAGGTCAGGGGAGGCTCTGTCCTGTCTGTCTGGGACCATGCCAGTCTCAACACTTCAAGGATGTGGTCCAAGACGACCCAACAGAGGGCTCTGCTCTTCCTGCCTACCTCTCAGGGGCCTGGGGGGCAAAGCCCAGGGTGTTGTTTCCATGACACCCCACGGGCTTTGATGGGCGAGCTTCAGAGCCAGAAGGGCTCCCCACAGGCGCTCAGGAAGATGTGGAGCCGGAGTCCAAGAGCATCCCGGGGAAGACGACTGGCAGGGTACCGGCGGGATTCCAGGGGCCGGGAAAGTTAAAGCTCCAACAATCTGTCCCAGGGCCCCGTGAGATGTCTGCAGGTGGGGCCCCTGCATGGTGCCACGCGAGGGCCCTCTAGCCTCACCCCAGGGCACTCTCTTCTTCGTCACTCCTGAGCACTGACCCAGGCGCCCTCCGCGGGGAGCTGGCTCTTTGCTGAGGTCTCCAAGCAGGGTGAAAGCAGCCGCCGCCAAGAGCAGCAGGATGACCCCCGCCTGCCAGGACCCCCAGGAGAAGCGGCAGCCAGGGAGTCCAGTGTGACTGGCCCAGCCCGCCTGCTCGCTGGCTGTTTGACCAACACTTAAGTCATTCCACATTCCTGAACCCCGGTTCTCCACCAATGAGAAGAAAGAAATAGACCACCAGCCACACGCTTACTGAGGAGAGTCAAGTGTCCAATCCATGCTACTAAAATTTATCACAAGCTGAGCAGGAGGAGGGCCCCCACCCAATCTCCTTCCTATAAAGCACGCGTGTCTCCCCTACACGTCTGCAGCCAGCGTCATGCGGCCGGGAATCTCAGGTTCTGTCTTCCCATGCCTGCAGCACCACCTGCTCTAAATGACAGGCCTCTCACAGGCCACACAACTGTGAGTTCAGATCCGAAGTGCCCACCCGGGACCCCAGAACCTGGATCTTGAGATCCCAAGAGCCAGCCGGCTTTGAGGAGTCTCGGTGTAGCCCCAGCCCCTCCCGATCCAGGGCTGTGACAGCCCTGCAGGGCCTCTGGGGACCATCGGCCAGCTTCCTGGACACAAAGCCCCGCTCAGGTACCCGGCTGAGGCCACCAAGGCCCCGAGTTCAACACAAAAGTGGTGCCCTGGAAGAGTACACGATGTTCATGGGCATCACGTTTCATATCTGGCTCAACTGAACACCGGTAAGGGCTTCGACCCTTCCGGGGCGGGGGAAATGGTCCCCGCATTGGGTGCAAGAGCTCAGAACTGCTCCATCTTGCAGACAAGTGCAAGCCTACAAGGGAATCTGGGAGGCACTTTCTGCATGCAGCGCAGCCCGGCTGAAGCCTCAGTGGGGAGGAACGTCTCCTGCATCGGCGTCAGGACAGGACTGCGGCCAGATCGTGCAGGCCCATTGTGAGAAGGCAGGGAAGCGCCTCAGGCCACACAGCACGGCACCACCCGGACTGTGGCCTCTCTCGGTGGGCTGTGAGGCCGTTCGGACGCGTCCTCTGCACAGGCAGCTCCGCACAGCGGTCACAGCCAGACTCACAGCGCCCCACACCGGTGCCCCACTCTCCTCCTCCACCGCCTCCGGCGCCTCCGCACGCCAGCTCCCCAGGCTTTCCTGTCCAACACCAGCCCGGAGAACGCCCAGCTCCCTGCGGAGGGGCAGTTACCGAGGAGACACCGCCACCACACCTTCTCCTTCCCTCTGAAGACCTGAGGCCCCCATATGACGTGGGGCCAGGGGTGGAGATTCTGTGCCTCAGTTTCCACCTCTGTGGCATGGAGGAAAGTGGTCCTAATCTAGCTCAAAATGGCAGCAAAGAGTGGCAGAGATTCTACAAAGGTCCGGTAGGTCTTCGCCGCCCGCATCACCCGCATCACCCGACTCCAGGCTGCGTCCACCTCACCGACAGGACAGCCGCTCATGCATCGCCTTTGCTCACACTGCGCTGCAGAGCTCAAGCCAGACGGGAATAAAAATCCCTTCTCATGCGGGGCTCCCCTCACTGATGTGAGGGGCAGGAGGCGCAACTAGGCCCTTTCTGCGAGGCGTAATCTCCCCTCCCTGAATCCTCCTCCCGGTGACACGAGCCACCAAGAACCCGCCACCAGCACCACCTACTCACAGTCCAACACCGCTAAGCTCTCCGCTTCAAGGCTGCTGGGACCCGGCTGGCTCCAGGCACCTCAGTGTCTGCGGGGGACCCAGTCTGGGCTGACTGCTCGTCCCTGCCCTGCGCCTGCGGAGCACTGTGCAGCCCCCTGACCCCCACCTGGGAAGCGCCTCGTGCAGTGTTAGGCTAAGGTTTCCCCGGTTGGGTGTGGGCCCCTTTAAAGCCCTCCCTTTGTGGAAATTCTGGAGGGAGAGGAACGCTTCCACAGTGTTAGCATCTGCAAAAGCTCTGCTCAGCCCCCGCCCCCACCCCACAGCGGGGGCGTAGATCAGTTACACTGCTGTCTCCACCTGTGCAACTTTGCAGGAGACTCCGTGGAGGGCGGAAAATCGAGTTCTCCAAGTGCCATGCCAGCCTTCAGGACGGGTTTGAGCTTCCCCTGGCTAAGAGTTCAACCCTGGGCTGCGTTTGTGTTGATTCATTTGCTCGTAAGTATTTATTGGCTTCTGATGCTGGGGACCACGGTGTGTGCTGGAGACAATAATAAATAATGAAGAACTCTGGTCCCTGGTTTCAGAGCCTGCTGTCCCAACGATCATTGTCCTGTGTGATGCCGTTTACTCTACAGATGTCAGCGCGGTTGATCTCCACCCAGCCCTGTAAAGAATGCACTGTCATTGTGCCCACTTCACAGATGAGGCGGGTGAGATGGGAGAGGACAAGCAACTTGTCCCGGACTACACGCATAAGGTGAGACTGGAATCCAGGGTCTCCGACCCGATATTACAGTTCCCTGAAGTCAAGAGCTGGAGACTTTCTTGAGGGGGACATTGTTTGTTTTCTGTTTCTCTTTGTTTTGTTTTTTGAGACAGGGTCTCATTTCTGTACTGCAGGCTGGCCTCGAACTCCTGGCCATCCTGCCTCAGCCTCCCAAGTGCTGGGATTACCGGCGTGCACTTGGTTTGCTGGTGCCTGAGACAGGACCAGGGCCAGGATGGATGGACATGCAGAGCTGACTTCCTCGCTTCTCCCGCTCCGGTCCCCAGGCCCAGTAGCCCAGCAGTGGCCTCTCCTCAGCCCTCACGCGGTGTCCCTGCCACCCCCGCCTATGAGCGCTGCCGCAGCTGCTCGCACCCTCTCCGTTTTACAGCGAGAAACCCAAGCCACACCAGGGCAGTGGCCCGGCCAGGGTCTCCCAGGCGGCTGGAGCTGGCGCTTCGGTGACGCGCTCAGCGGCCCAGCCTCACAGCCCGGCCAGCACTGCGGTGACAGCATCTCCTCCCTCCGCTCCCCGCCTCCAGGACCCTCACGCCTGGGTCTCAGGTCTCGCTGGGGGCCAGCTGCCCCCACCCCCGCGTGCCCACCACGCTCAGCTTACCTCCCAGCGCCCGCCGCCCCTGGCCCTGGCTAGGAAACGCGCAGATGCGCGTGGGGCACGGCAGCCTCTCTGGACCCACAGGAAGAGTAACTGTGCTCTCAGCCCACAACCGCCCTTCCCTGTGGCCTTCTCCTCTTCTTGTTGTCCAAGCCTAAGGAAAGATGACAGCCAGGTGCTGGTGGTGCACCCCTGTGATCCCAGCACTCGGGAGGCTGAGGCAGGAGGATCGCCATGAGTTCAAGGCCAACCTGGGCTACACAGTGAGACTCTGCTCACAAAAAAAAAGAGAAGGGAAAGGGGAAGGAAGGTTGACAGAACAAAGATGAAGGACGAGGCAAAGATGAAGGACGAGGGGCGGTTGGGAGGTAAAGGAGACTGAGGACCCAGATCCCTCCTCCTTCTCCAGCCAAGGTCACCCTCAGTGCTTGCCGCTCTGGAGCCCAGCAGCAGCCGCCGCCGCAGCCGGGACTCAGGACTCAGCAGCGCAGAGGAAGCTGGCGGGCTGTGATTGTTCCCGAGCCGCGGGACAGGGCTGCTCCGGGCACTTCAGGAAGTACTTGCTCCAAGAGGCCCTTCCGGCCATTGTTGTCCAGGCCGAGGACGCTGGGCTGGCACGGGGACAGCTGCCCTCTACGGCCAACAGTGTGTCCAGGGCACCGGGGCAGGAAAGGGGTGGGGGCTGGCGGTGGCCCGAGCGCAGGGTCCCGGAGCCAGGGAGGAATCGCAGCAGGGCAGCCTCCTCGAAGTGGCTGTCTGTCCTCTCCGGCCTCAAAACCGCACGGACCCAGGACAAGCTCAGTGCTGCTGGTGACACCCAGCTGGCCGCCGAGACCTGCCCCTGCCGGGAAAGGAGCGGGCTCGGGAGCCCCGGCCCTTCTGCGGCTCCTCTTCCTCCTCCCAGACGCTGGCAGCTGCGGCGGAGCTGAGGAGGGGGATTGGCGATGCTCAGGTGCAGGATGCCGGTGGAGCCGCTCCTCCCCCACTCCCCCCGCAGCTGGAGGGGCGTCACTGCCAGCACAGTGCTCGGGGCGACCGAGAAGGCCTCTGTCTGCTGCGGAGGAAAAACAGTAACGCACTTAGCAGCTTTCAAGGCCACCGGCCTCCTTGGGGCAGGGCCAGGCTTCCGGGGCAGGGCCAGGCTTCCGGGGCAGCGCCACGAGTCCCTGCCAAGATGGGAAGCTGCTGGGTGTGGTGGTGCACACCTGTCCTCCCAGCACTCTGGGAGGCTGAGGCGGGAGGGTCACCGAGGGTTCCAGGCCCAGCCTGAGCTCCACAGGGAGACCCTGTCTCCAAAAAGCAAGCAAACAAAATCAGAAAGACAGGAGAGAACGGTGGGGCGTCGGGCGGCCTGCAGTGTGCACAGCAGCTGCGTCCGTCCAGGGCCCTGGACCCTCCTCTGCAGAAGGAGGTGAAATCCGTCTGGCTTCGGAGGGGCTCTCCAGACCCTGCCGGCCTCCACCTCGTCCGGAGCCCTCCCGACCCGAACGCCGCACAGTGGACTTCCTGCCATGGCGACCCACACCGGTGCCCCACTCTCCGCCAGGCCCTGCCCGGCAGCCCGCCCACGCTACCTCACTTACCCCTCGAGGATCCCTGAGAGAGAGGCAGCACTGTCCCTCCGCCGCCGGCCGCTCACCCCACCTGGAAGGGTCGTGGGGTGCACCCACCCTCGGCCGGCCCCAGCACGAGCTCTCATCCCCGTAGCCGGCCGGTGTCAGCCGCGCTGTGTCCTCGTCCGGTCACCCATCCCGGCGCGACCTCGACAGGGCGGGGAGGAGGCACGGCCGCCGCAGCCCCTGCCGGTGCCTTCTGTCGGCTTCCTGGGGACACGGACCGGAACCAGCGTGGAAGTGAAGACCTCGGACCACGAGCTTACATCCTGCCCGGCGTCCCTTACGTGAGAAACCCACGGCACAGAAAAAGCGCAATGCAAAACACAGACGGCAGGAGGGTACGGGAGATCTGCAGAACCGGCGGGGACGCAACGGCTGGAGCGGGTGGGAGAAATGCAAGACAACTGCGCGTGCGCTGTCCCGCGCCGAGGCCCCTCGAAATGAACAAAAAGGAAGGGAGGAAGGGGTCCCGTTCTCCGTGCAGTCAGAGCCCCAAGGCTGCGCCGAGGGTGCAGCCCCGAGCGCCTCCCTGGGAGATAGAAGCCACCCCGCGCCCTGCCGAGCAGGCGGAGGAGAGCCACGCAGACGCAGACGCAGGGAGCGGCCAGGGCACCACGGCCCTGAGTCCCTCTCCCCGGGACCGGGGGCAGCCCTGCGCCCCGCCCTGCTGGGAGCAACAGACCTGCAGCGCCAGCTCTCGGGAAAAGAGGGGTTCCGGCCAGGCCGTGGGCACGGCTGGGGACGGAAGTCCTGACCCCGAGGCGGACACCCCAGCCGCCTGCACGCAGTCCCGATGGCGTCCTCTGCAGCAGCCTTGGGCCGGGAGGAGCTGAGCAGAGCCGGAAGCTCGGTGAAGACGCCTTTCCGAGGCCGCGCAGCCTCAGCGCCTCGCTGCCCGCTGTGCCGGAAACCAGCTCCCGCCGCGGCGTGGGGCCGGCTGCACCAGCCCGCAAACGCGCTGGCTTTGGAAGGCGAAGCGGGCCGGGCCCCGTCGCACGCTCAGAGCGCTCGCAGGCGTGTCCTCCGTCCTGCGTCTCGCACTTTCCCCTGCGCTGTCCCTTGGTCCCCATGTGCTGTCCTTGTCCCCCGGCGTCCCTTCAATTCTGTGCCCTGTGGGGGGCAGCGCTGATTTCAGACACTCACCTCTCATACCACAGTGACAAGCATCGGTGCCCGCATCACTCACCAGGGCCACCCCGACTCTGCGCCCAAACCCCACGGCGCCCGGTCCCACACCCGGTGCCAGAGCTCCTCTGCCGCGTCCTCCCTCCCGGCCACGCCTGGGGCTCAGCGTGGAGGCCCCAGCGGTGAGCAGCTTCGTGGGAGACGCCAGCCCTCTCACCGTGCCCTGTCCACAGAGGCAACCGCTGTCCTCAGATGAGTGTTTCGCCCTCTCTCCAGCAGGGTCCTGTCTGCTTCTGCAGCCCCACCCCGCCCTAGAAGCCCTAGAACCCGGCATTGGCTCCCGCAAAATGACATCTTCTAGCCAAAGGGAGGAAGATTTCAGGCTCCAAAGGGAAGCGATACCACTTTGAATGGTCGCTCCCTGAGATTTCAGGAAAATCACTCCTTTCCAATCTTTAGCTCACCTCCCCGGGGCGCCGTGACCACTCGGCACCACTGTCCTCTCTGTCCAGGCCAGGGAAAATGTGCACATCGTCTACATTCCAAAGAGGAGGCAGAATTTTTGCAAACTCTGCCTGGACCAAGCAAAGCAGAGGCAAGAATAATAAAATTTAGAGAGGAAAAATTTCTGAAGTTTTTTAAAGAAAACTAGAGCACATGGGTGCAGTGGCCTGCAGGTTCGAGGTATGCATTCGCATTCAAGCCGAGTCAGGCCCTGTGGGTGAATAATTCCCACTCCAGAGGGGCCTGGAGAGGCCTGGCTGGGGACGGGCAGCTGGGTCTGAACCATGCAGGTCACTGAGCTGTCCTTGCACCCTGGGCAGGCGGCGAGGCTCTCTGGGCAAACTGCTCTGCCCGTGACATGGAAGCACCCCGAGTGCCCAGGCCACGCCGGGACTCTCTCAGCCGATGCACTGGGGGAGCAAAGGTGTGGAACAGCCAGTGACCGCGGGAGGTGGAGCAGGCTCACAGGCTGGCAGGTGAGGGGCGGGCAGAACCCCAAGCCCGTGGGATCTCTGCCGCTTCACTGCTTCTCCCAGGGCTGCTCGGAAAGGATTGGGGATTTTTTTTTTTCCAGGCAGAAATGATGGGGCAAAGGAGGCGGCAGCTGGGCAGGAGGGGCTGGGGCTCCTGGCCGGGCAGCGGGAGGGGTCCTGCAGGGGCCCGGTCAGGAGCTGCAGGGAAGAGCGGTGTTTCTGGTCGCCAGCCTGGGAGCTGGGCCTGCACTTGGCCTCACTCGCTCCAAACCCCTCCGGGCTCCTTCCAGACTCCGGGGGAAACTCAGAGGAGGGAGGAGGCTGTTTTTCCTGGACCAGACCTGCCCTGGGGTGCAGCATGCAGCAGCCTCCTCCCGGGATTCCGAGGCTCGAGGTCCTGGCCGCTTTCCTTTGCTTTCTGTCTTACTCGGTTTTCACCTTTGAACACGCGATGCTAGGGTCTAAGAAAAAAAAAGAAAACAAAGAACAAACAGCACGAAAACAGCCAAGCGAGCGTGCTCTCCCGGCGCCTGTCCCGACCTGCCGGCTGCCCCAGGTGACGCTCGCTCGCTGTCCCTCTGCACAGAGAAAACTGCCACGGTGGCTGCTGTCCCGAGGGGTCAGGCACCAGGGATTCAAACCACCAGCACCCCCAGAGCTTTCCCAAAAAGTTACTGTTGCCGTTCAACTGTCTGATTGTTTTTCACCAAATGAAAAAAAAAAAAAGATTCTCCATCTGACCCAGAACAGTTAGCCCTGTTCTCCAACCAGGTAGGAGGCACAGCCTCCCCTGGACAAGCCGGGGCTGTTGGTGCAAATGTGAGCGTATCTGAGCGCCCTGGGGTGTAATTTCTGCCAGAAAGGAGAGACAGTGCAAAAGTCAAGGTTCCCGTGTGAGCTGTGAGTGTGAGTGTGTGTGTGTGTGTGTGTGTGTGTGTGTGTGTGTGTGTTCCCCCCTCTGGAAACAGAGATGGGGGGAAAGGAGAGGGGTGAAGGGCAGGGTGGTGAGCATCCCCGGCTGGACGGCATGGTCAAAGGTGGCATGCATGGAGCCCAATCCTGCTGTCGCATTTCCAGATGGGAGGGCGAGACCACCAGCCAGGAGCCGTCCATGCCCAGCACTCCTCCGTGCTCCCTCCAAGGCCAGCAGAAGCCCGGGTTCCAGGCTTGGCCTGGCCCGCCTCGGGCTGTGTGGCTGTGACAGGCCTTGACGGGGCGGAGGGCCCCACACTGGGACGACGTCTCCGGAGGAGCCCGCCGGCCACCACAGAATGCTGGAGGCCAGAGGGGTCACCATCAGCTCCGGGCTCCACTGCCGGGGACTGAGAAGCGGCCCCACCAGCTCAGGCGCTGATGGGGATCTTGCCAGAGTGCAGAGATGAGGCCATGTCAGGGCCACGCGCTCCGGTGGCTGTGAAGCCACCAGTGACCCTGCCTCTGCCCACGCCCTCGCTCTGCCGGGGCAGTGGCCCCTCCCTGTGGCCCGCTGTCCTGGAACCTGAGCTCACAAACTCCCAGGAAGACCCAGCCGCCCCCACCTTCTGACTGCACCAGCCCTGGAGTCCGTCCACCCTGCCGGGGCCCCCAGCGGTGGAGGACGCCTTGCGCTGGGAAGGCCACGGAGCATGCTGGCTAAACAGCGTCCCACCTGGGCCGACCCCACCAAGTCCCAACCTCCTGGGGCACCGGAACCTGCGGTCACCTGGAAAGTCCCGAGCTCGCTGGAGCTGACAAACATTTGTTCCCAAGGCGAGAGGGCCTGGGACAGGCGCGAAGGCTGACGAGCCAAGTCCTGCCTGCCAGGTATGAACAGCTCTCAGCATTGTAAAGGACTGTCTTTAAAAACACGCACATTTCACACAAAGAAGAATATGAAACGGAGACCTTACGGGGCCCACAGAGCGAAATATTTCCTATCCGGCTCTTTACACCGAGACTTTGGCAACCTCTCGCCTAGAATAATGAGGTCAAGCACAGCGGAGGGGGAGAGGGACCTTGAACAGTTGTCGGCTGAGGACGCCCAGAACTGCGGGGCGGGGGGAGCGGAGAGGAGTTCCCAACGTTCCCAGCTCCACAGAGAATCAGGCAAAGCACAAGCACACGCCCAGGCTCCTGGAATTGTGTTTAGAGCCACGTTTCCAGGAGGTCGGGGAGGAGGACAGGCAGGTCAGTCCCGCCCCAGGTCCACTTGCTCTACGACTTCATGGCTGCACTCAGAAGGGGCCCTAGCCCCACAGGGCTCCTTGTACCTAAGTTCATTACAGTGAAATCAAACTTCGATTCAAGTCCTCTATCACATTGGATACGCACGTCACCACGAGTCCAGGCACCAGCTACAGGGGGCCAGGGCCACAGCTGCAGGCAATCTCCTGACACCTTGCTCAGTGCCTCCTCTGCCGTCCTCTCACCACCTTTATTCTAGGTTCCAATGCCTTGAGAACAATTATTCAGCTTTAACCTAAGCCTCAATTTCCTCATCTGTAAAATGGGATAGATCTGTCAGCACTGTTATCAGGATCACAGGAGCTGGTGCAGGTAAAATGATAAGCATAAAAGTTGGTATAGGCCGTGTGTGGTGGTGCACACCTGTAATTCCAGTGCTCCAGGAGGCTGAGGGAGGAGGATCGAAAGCTGGGATCCAATCCGGATAACTTACTGACTTAGCAAGACTTTGTCACAAAATTGATAACAAGGGCTAGGGCTGTAGCTCAGTGAGAAGGCCCTAGGGTCAGTCCCCCCTCCCCCCCACACACACACTGAGGTATGTGCACAAGTTCACACCCCTTGGCGCTTTCTCCCAGCTTCCTGTGGGCTGGCAGTTCACACCACCGCAGGCCTGGCATCCCTAGAGCAATGCTGAGCTCAGGTGCTGTGCCCCACCCACCTCCAGAGCCCGCGACTCTGCGGGTCGTGGTAATACGCCTCTCTCCGGCTGCCCGGTCTCACAGGAAGGCGTTCTGGGTCCCACTGTCCCCTGGGGGCAGCTGTGTTTCTGAGCACTGTGTTACCCTACCGTGCTCCACGCCTGCTTTCCTCCTCTGCCCTCAGGCTCCTCGCCTCCCAACTCCCCGACCTTCCCTGGGACAAGGAGACCAGCACAGCCTCCTTGCAGCTCCTTCCTCTGTCGCCCTGAGGGCCCCCTCGCTTCCCGAGCTCCAAGGGGGCTCAGGCCCACGGCAGAGCTGGAGGCACATTTTTGTGGCCTGTCAATAATTTTCACTGGTTCTCAGAGAAAACTGTAATGCCAGACACAGGACAGGGCGGTTACCGTGTCCTGGTTTGCAGCTTCAGGTCACTGTCTTATCTGCCGCTGAGAGAGACCTGCGCTCCGGTGGGAGTCCACACCTGTACCTGCGGCAGCCCTCGCCTTCCCACCTCTGCATTCCCCGCCTGGCCCCCTGAGGCTGTGGGCTTCGTTTCCCTCCAGACGACGCTGGGAGAAGCCTGTGGGCAGCTGCTGTGTGCTCACCCGTGGGCCTGAGCCCTCCAGCTCAGAGCACGGGTCAGGGAATTCCTCTTCCCGTTCCTCTTCCTCTTCCCGTTCCTCTTCGTCTTCCCCTTCTCCGCTTTCTCCTTCTCCTCCTCCTGCCTCATCATCATCATCAAACCAAGCCAGTGAACTCCACTGTGCTGGGAAGGGTTCTGGTGTTTTGCATATTTGCATATATTTGCATATATTTCTTGGTCCTCCCACCCTATGGCATAGACAGGAGGAATCATTATTCCCAGTCTTCAGATGACGATGCTGAGGCCCCGGAGTGTCTATGTGACGTAATGGTCACGGAGCTAAAGAGGGAGAACGGGCTTCTCACTGAGGCAGTCTCCAGAGGAGGTGTCCTGACTACAACGGCGACCACCCTAACAGCCCTGACATTTTCCTCTGCCTTTCCCCTCGTCCGACATTTGCGCTCTCTGTCTGGGCTGGTGTGAGGAAGATACCTGCCGCACGCTAGAGGGGTGGACTGGTGGTAGACCACTTACCTCACACGCTCAAAGCCACCAGCAAATAAATATGTACCAGGTAGCGTAAACAAGAGAAATGTATGTATTTCTCATAGTCTGGAGGCTGAGAAGCCCGAGGTCAAATCACAGCCTCTTCAATAAGGGCGCTAATCCCACCAGCAGGGCCCCACCACCGTGACCCACTCACCGCCACCCCTAACGCTGTCACCTTGCATCTCAGGGTGTGAACACGTGCATTTTGCAGAGGGGAACATTCAGGCCACAGGGACTGTTTTCTATTTAGCTGATGATAGCAAGTTCTTCTTTATTTCACAGAAATTAACAAACGAGGCAAACCAAGCAGTATTAAGGGGATAAGGATAAATCTGTGTCATTTGTAGGAAAATGGATGCACCTTAAAACCATAATGTTAAGTGAAATAAATCAGACATACGAGCTTAAATATTGCATGGTGTCTCTTCTATGAGAAACCCAAAATATAAATAAAGAGCAAAATGAAAGACAGATCATAGGAAAGAGGGAAAGAGATCGAGAGATGGAGGCGGGGGACATAAAGAGGACGAAGATGTGAGGGGCACGCGCCACGCCCCGCACTGGACGACACCACTGTGTGCTGCAGACAGGAAGGAGCGGCAGTTAAAACTCAGAGGGAAAGCACATCGTGGGGTAGGGGAAGTTGCACTGG